CCTATCTACTCGCTCATCTATCCAGTGCCCAGGCTGTGAACTACTAAGCATAACACGTTATAGATTCAGTCTTATAAAGCAAATTCACCCTATGAAATAAAACAGTATGTCTTAGTGGTATTTAGTGGTTCATCTGATAACAAAAAAAATGTTATGGCTTTTTAAGCTTCAGAAGCCTTATTTTTTAATAAGAAAAGAAGTCAAAAAAACCAGAAATCTGTGTTCTATGGAATACCTGTGATATCAGGATGCTTTTTTTGAACTATAACGTGTCAAGCCACTTTTCCCTTCCATTCATTTCCCTTTAAGAGAAATAATCTAGTGAGGCAGAGAATCAAACACTGAATTCTCATCACCAGCATTAACACATCCGTATTTGGATAAGAGCCGAAGCAAGCACAAGAAATAATGTGGTAATTTACAAAAAGGAACCCAGATTTATTAGAGCTGTCTTGTGAGAAAATGGCTATGATATTTCTACTAGCTGCTTATACCATATCTTCGGCACTAATTCCAGGCTAATTTCTAGCATCATTATCCATTAGACATTTTTTTCCAAAAGCTCTCAATATATGACGAAAATTTTATGTGTTTCTATACAGTGAAGAATCCCAGTTTTAGAGATAGAATAATCAAAAAAGAAAGTGAAAACCAAACAGACTTTTCAGTACCCCATTTTTGTTAGTCTGAAACATGTGAAATCACTTTTATTCTAATTTTTTGCTCCTTGCTTTCTAGCCGTTTAAGCCAGGCTGCCCTCCAGCTGCAAAGGTGAGAGCTGGCAGATGTTGAAAGGGACCGATCAATCTCCGTAAGCTCCTGACTATCAGATTTTCCATGTACCAGCCTCAAAACATCACTTTTTTTTTCCCCCAGCAGTTCAGGAAGCAGATCTCTGAGTTCCAGCTCAAAGAAAAGCTACCCTCCACCACATTTCCTCCATTTGCTAAGGAAATATTAATAAGAAGAGGGTTCATTGTTTCAAGTTTCTGTCTGAATGTCTGGCAGCACCTTCTCCCATTTTCCTCGTTATCATTCTGTGTCAACCGCTGACAGCGAAACACTGTGACTGCTGTCAAGCAAGCAGCACGCCACTTACTGTGCCGAAAAGGTCCCTCTTTGCCTAGTCACACAGAGCTGGCCTAGCAGTAAAGTTTGACCCAAGGTACAGCATCAAATTAGCATCCAGGAACATAAAATCAAACATGAAACTTACAAGAAAATCCATATTCATTCTGGGTTCTCTGTTCAGTTGAAATAGGATAAATGAAACCTTAAAAAGAAAGAAATTAAACAAAAATGGGAACAAAATCAAATTAACGAGGAGAACAAAAAAGGGAAGCATGAAAAATGGCTTAATTAAAAAAAAAGAAGGAAAAGAAACTGATGGCACTTTAAAATTCTGATACAGCACAGAATTATGATTTTGCATCCCCTGTCTCCTCCAGAGCCTTACTAAGAATTAATAAGCAGGCAGATTGAATTTCTAAGCCAAAATCGGTCTCGAGTCACTAACTTTGGAGTGCTTAAAGTCTTTCTTTTATTGAGCATAAACTCTAACGGATCTAATTTATTTCAGACATCAAGGGTCATTAGCATACGGAAAGTCTTTTTTCCCTATCCCTGCCATATGCTTTAATTCCCAGGACATCTTTGGTGAGGCTCTAAACAGTTTTTTTATTTAATTATGGTAGCTTGCTGTTGATCTAATAGAGCTAAAGGAGACCTGTCGTCACTGGTCAGAGGTTAAACACCCATTCGCTGAGCAGAGTCCACGCACAAAGCCCTCTCTCTGTATTTCCCTGGAATTGTTTTATCCTGTCTTTAATACACGTTGAACAGGAATTCCTCAGGGAGCAAAGAATTTGTCAGCGAATGGGAAACTGAGTGGCTTCTCTTCGAAATTATTACAAAATCAATAAGGCCTGCCGGGTCATAACATTATTTATTTGAAATCTTTGCAAGCACCATATATTGACAAAATCATAACACAATTTACAGCTGTATTTCGGAATGGATAAATAAGAGAGATCGTTTCCTTTGCCTTTTCTTTCTGCACCTCCTACAGCACAGCACGCTGGAGCTGCTCAGCTTGTACACAAGTCCTATGAACTCGCTAAGCACCTCCCAGCTGCTTTCCATCCATACGGGCAGGGAGTGAAACGCTCCAAGTCCCACCCTGCTGGAAAGGTAAATGACAAATCCAAAGTAAGAGGGGCAGTCGCTGGCAGCGATGGGATTAGAGTTGGTGTAAGACAGAAGGCACCTCTCCTTCATCACCTTCCCTTCTGTGCTTCTGAAGGGAATTTCACCCCCTCTCCTTGGATTGCACTGCGAGGAGCTCGCACAGCTGGGGACTCCCTGCAGGTGAGCTGAAACTGGAAAACGCACCCCTGGCGCGTGCCTAATGCACAGGACCACATCGCAGCCAGACCGGAGTAATCATCCCCGGCTCACAGAAGGGCTGAGTGTGGGTGCTCAGCATCTGTTGCGCTTTGCATCGCTCTCCCTGCTTGGCTGCACTGCTTGCTAATGAAGATACAGTCTATCGCAATCGCAGGTACAGACATTCCTCCCCCCGAAGTTTCCAGACACTAAGTCTTGCATAGCTGCTACCCTAACCTTCGGTTCCCATAACAGAGCAAGAAGCGCTGCTTTTTGATGATGATGTTTTTTTCTGAGGCATCATGAGACAATGTTGCCTGTAGTATTTACTTAAAACTTTATTTCACAGCAATGATTTCAGCCTTATAACTGCTTTTTGAAATACTATGTTCTTACATGCATTTATTTGGATCTTTGAGGCAAGTTCACCTATGTGTACTCTCAACACAACTACTCAGTCTTTCCTAATAACTGCTTCCTACTTCTACTACGGTACTCCAGGCATTGGCCATAAAAAGTCAGGCAAGCAGCTTCTGAGGGCTTGAGTGAGTACCCAGCGAGTCTGGCCATGTATTTACAACACCCTGGTTACTCCCCACTTACTCCCCAGATGAACGCTGAGGCCCATATTTAGTCAACCTAAATTTCAGCTATAGCATTGTGCCCAATATTTCCTTCAGCAAGATGTCTCTGGAGACCAATAGGCAGCCAGCAGCAAATATGAGGGACAAGAACAAGCTGGAATTTAGGCTGGCTGCATCTCTGAACACCTTTTCGCCTCGTACTCAAACTCACTGGGAAAGATGAGGGCATCTCCCTGCACTTCACGTACCCCAGCATGTTCTCAGGGGAGCTGGCATGGGGCAACACGCATCCCTCAGCTCTGCATCACCCACAGAGCTCGAGCTCATCTGCGCAGAGCCAGAAAGGCTATTCCGTTCTCCTTGTGTTGTGTTTCAGCTGACAAGTTTTGCATTCAAGGTTCTGCATCCTTTCTGCCACATCTGAAGTGATCTAGCAACTGCCACTCAATGGGCACAAAGGGCTGGATTAGCTGTGATATTACTGCAAGCATTCTCTCCTCCTGGGAAAATGGAAATCCAAACTCAAGCCTTTTCAGCAAAGTCAACAAGTGTGGTCTTCAAATACTCTAAAAGACTTTCCTCATTGCAGCCTCTCACAGACCCTCTTTGTCACAAATACTTCTTTGCATCTTACAGGTTCGCATACATTCTGTTAGTGATAACTACGGAGAGCATCCTTGCAGCTACGTAAGGGTGACACCAATTTCTTCAACAGAAACGTTTTGTGTATGTATTCAAAGGCACGTCTATTAAAATGGGAGGCAGAGGCAACGATACTGCTTGCTGCTTCCACTAGCCTTGCAAAACCTACATGTTTAGCAAAGCGAGTTTGATTTTATTCCCCTGTGTGTGCTGCGAACTGAACCAAGCACCCAACTCCAGCCAACTGTTTCCATGCGAACATAGCCTGGCTTGCACAGATGTCTGTGCAAGCCTGAAAAACATGTGTTTTTTACACAGAATGAAGGAAAGGCCAAGGTGGAAGGGTTAAGGGTTGTCAAATGAGATGCCATGTATTTGAGTCATGGGCATGCCAATTTTTTGCTGAGGGACAAGAGTCACAGCTGACCAGCTTGGCTGTAGATGGATAGGTGGCCACTCGTGCAGGATGTCCTTGTTGAAGTGGCAGCACCACACAAGCAAGGCTGTGGTTGTCATACAACCCTGTTTGCTCACAGTATGCGGGCATGTTGCCCTGGCTGAAGCTAGCAGAGACCTGACCTTGGGTTGACTACCAGCATTCCAGCCAAGCTGGCAACCCCAGCCATCCACTGGTAAAACGCCAGCTCCATTTGCACTTGCAAATTAAGCATATTTGTCAGACATCACTCAAACATGGCAACTACAGATGTCTTCTGCTATTTGGGCAGGACTTTTTAGAATAAAACTCCTTTTAAACACTCCTTTGTTATGAAAGCGCTCTTCCAAAAGGGAGCAGGCATTGCAGTGGCCGCGGTAAGGGGAAGGCTTGCAGCCATGCGCTGGTGGTGGTGGCTGGGCAGGAGGCAGGGTTATTGCCGTGCTCCCAGCACAAGAGCACAGGTATTGCTTTAGAAAGCTGGCTTTCACACTGGTCCCTCTGACTACGTCTTCAAACAATGAGAGAGGACATTTTCATCAGATAATGATGCAAACCTACTGGGATTAGTAACTGAAATAATGAAGAATGACTTCTGTCTTCAAAGCAACGGCAGTGAAAAGAAATCTTTTTCTTGCATTTTTTTTCCTCCGTCTATCAGCTGCGCTGCTTGGCAAGTACCTGAGGGAC